GGTGGAGGGTTGTGGGTGCAGCCCTTGGCCTTATGAAATTACCATGACATCAAACTCCATCACAACCAGCATGCCTTGCCGGGTGCTCACATCATATCTCCATCAGAACTATGGCAATCTGTCGGCTCATCTGCGAGTATCCCCCCTCCCAAAGGAGGGGAAGGACGGGCAGAAAATAATAACAGAATGGACAACAAAAGGCTTTGCCAAAATCATGTGGTTATGAGTCGAGCTTATTAAAAACCACAGTGGAAAGCAAATATGCAAACACTGAGCCCGCTTCCCCCCACCATGAGAAAATGAAATAAAATAAAATATGGTGTGAAAGACAGAGCGGGAAGAAGGAGGGAAACCATCACCCTGCTGCTAATTTAATAGACAGACTATAGCAGGCTATGCAATACCATTATGTTGTGTCATCTGTCCTGCGGAGGTTGGATTGGTTCCTTGGGGAAGGTCACGGCGAATGACAGACATAATCAGATACAATCAAGTCATTCAGGATGCCAAATTTAAACATCACGCAGGCGGGTCGGGAAGCTGATGACCACGCTGCTTGTTTCTGACGTCACATGTCATCAGGTAACAAGACAACATCGAGAAACATTTTAGATTTGATGTTTGTGCAATACCTCTTTATGTGTTGAAATATACATATATGTGATACACAATGATGTAGGATTAAGTGCAACACACATCAAATGCATCACTTCAGTTGGCATCTGTAAGGCACAGAAGGCATAGAAAAGGTGCAGAAATTGAATGTTAATCTTATAAAACTGCTTTCCTGTAAGGTAAACCCATGTTAGTGCAGGGAAATAGGACAGTTGCCTCTCCATGAAACCTGATGCACCAGGCTTACATAGAAAACAATGAAGGAAGTGCCCTTATTTTACTAGTCATGTACACAGTTACACACAGTTATACTTCAAATTTCAGTCATCCTTCCAAAATGCACAAGGTATGACACTTTATGCACCTAAATCAACTCTAACTATTTAAGTGCTGGCAAAATTGGGACCCCACATGGGTGTAGTAGTTAAGGTAAGAGCTAAAGTGGCAATAATTGATATTTTGCAAATCTCATGTGAAAGTGGGAGCTTGTTGTAAAGAATTAGGAGAGATTTACCTGAATCTGCAGCTTTAAACAAGTTTAAGATCACTGTTTTGGTTTTCTGTTGACTACTCACTACTTTGGTTTGAGACTACAATCTTCCAGAAAACTACCCGACATGTGGTTTAGTTATAGCGTAGTTAAGTTTAGAGTTAACGCACCTGAAAATAAGACAACACTTAGCTCTGTATCAAGTTGTTTTAGTGCCTCACGCTAATCATTTTGGTTTTTAGGTGAACCAAGCTGAGAGAAAATAAAGGTAAGCGGCAAGTGAAAGCAAAACTCAACTGTCAGCCCCAGAGAATGCAGTCTTGTCTGGGGCCACTTATGAGTTTCTCCCTTTCGAAACCCTTATATAGACTTTGTGGGTCCTTAATAGTGGAAAAGCAGAAATACAGCTTAGCATTGGTCAGACTAGAAGTAGGAAGAGCTGTATTCTTAAAATCCCCCTTGTACAAAAGAGCAGATGAAGCAGTTATTAACTAGCTACTCAACACAGTAGACCATTTCCTATAAAGTCACACATTTTCCTCAGGAGTTGGTAGGCTATAACCAAAAACAGAGGTATGAGAGAGTGCTAAGTTAACCCTCTGAGGTCTGGAGCATCAATTCTGTATTTTGAAAGAAAATGTGAATAGTTGTTTATGTATGTCAGTTAGAATAAACACGTGTTTGTTCCCTGATTGCCCAAACTTGGGAAACCAATTGAAATAAAACAAATTACACAGATATAGATTAGACTTGAGAGGGCTAACAGGCTGGACAAAAACACACCTCAAAATGTACCACTCTTTAACCGCTGAATGTAAAGTCAGAAATGATTCATGACTCGTTTCATTTTGGAAATGAATCATTCATAAAGACACTGACAAATTTCAGTTGGCGATGCCCTAATTTATTTATTTATTTTCCATCTCCACCTACTCCTCCACCCATAACAGTTGGGTATATAAGGTGTGACTCGTTTCAGAATTACTGTTGGTTAGGCTATCAGCGTGGAAAGTCATCAAGTTAAATGAAAGCTCTTATAAGCTCAAACATTCCCAAACCTTTCACACTGCCTGTTTTACCAGCAAATATTCTGGAAACATCCAGAATTTTCAGCAGGTTGAGCAGCTGCAAGCACCTCTGGAAATAAAGGAGGTGAAGAAAAGCTTCTGTTATGCTCTACTCATTAGTCAGAGCAGAGAGGCTGTCACGTATGGTCAGTGGGAGTGTCGAGCAATGTGGGTTTAATCATTAGGCACTGCGGTGCTTTTGTTCCTTAGGTGAAATTTTTAGACAAAAAGATCATGTTGGTCACAAGAAGGCCTCCCCTGCTCTCTCCATTTACTACATCCAGTCTCACTGCCGTCACCAAAGCTACCAAAAAGAAGCCATCACAGACACCTCAGTGATTATTAGATTAATATCTGTGGTTAATTATTTGGCCGCAGGTCTGATGACTCAATTTTAAATAATTCTCGAAGTGCAGCCTTTGTTGGCATAAAATCAAAGTAATACATTTGTCTTCTTCATCTTTGAAATGCATTAATAACATTGCTGGGTCGGGGAAGGGAAAACAGTACTTTTTAAATCTACGCATTTTGCCTTGATAACTGTTTTAAAATGACATCACGCTGTTTTGTGTGACTCCAAATGATATCTTCCTCTGCACCACCAGAAAATCATGCACTGCACAGAGGTGGAGCAGAGGGAATGCATGCCTGGCTCAACATCCAATCTACACAGAATTCATGTTTTTACAATTTCAAGACAAAGCAGTTGTGTAAAAAAATAAAAATGATGAAAACAACAATGTAAAAAGAGGATGAATGACTCAGTTAAGCTCACCCTAATCTAACAAACAGACAGAAAATGAAACTGGGACTATTCTTAATCACAGGATTTGCTGTTTTTTAGTGTTTGGTATCACTGCAGATTAAAGAAAAATGTGCATGCTTCAACGTTGAGCTTTTTAAAAATGTGTAAGCATTTCCTTACAACTTCTTTAAAATGTTATTTTAGTTAGGACTACTATAGCCAAAAGAAAGTAATTATTTTTTAAACTGCATTAACCAATGCCTCCCCACTAGTCAATGAACACACCTGGGAGATAATAGGGCAAGTCAGAGACAACTGGTGTAGAGGTGGATGCCAAGCGGCTTGCAGATTCAATAGCAACAGTACTTTTTTGGAATTGATCTGTTTTAATATGAAGATGCAATGATGCATTTTAAGTTACTACACTGCACGTGAGGATTTGGGGGACAGAAAATACTCCCATCTTTAAAGAAAAGAACTGCATCCATCTCAGCTGACCCTTCTCACCCTGGACACAGTCTGTTTGACCTGCTACCCTCAGGCAGGAGGCTCCGGTCCATTCGCACCAGAACCTCTCGCCATAAGAACAGTTTCTTCCCCTCTGCTGTTGGACACATGAACAATAACCATATGACTGTCCCCGCCACTAACACATGACCCTACGCTGTGTTCACTGCATCATTCCATGTTTGGCACTGATCACCACCTACACTCATGTATATATCATGTATATCTCATGCACATATCTTTCTACGTAGCACTTTTAATTCTTACTCCTATTCCTATTCCTACTTTTATTTTTTCATGTCTATTTAAGTGCTATTTATGACACTATGTTTGCACTGAAGCACCGCAGCAATTTCCTAATGTTGTAAACCTGCTCAACATTTGGCAATAAACCCCTTTCTGATTCTGATTCTGATTCTGATGACATTCAATTTCAGATCATTTCACTTCACTGAAGAATCTGTGAGAGCGATCTCATATCCATTTTTCTTCAGATTGCTTATGGAATAATCTTCTCTGGTCTCATTACGGAGGAATCGTTCAGAAAGATAGGTCACACACGTGCAAGAAAAAAATCTTCTCTTAGCTAACCCATCCATCTCTTCTTTTGAACCCATGTCTTGAGAAAACAATCGCGCTGCAGCAACTAGCCAAAGTGTTGCAATATGATTCTTTGGCCAGTATTACACAGCCCAGTTTGGCTCTCAGTTGGAGAACAGCATTTCAACTCCCTTCTGCTTTCAGCCAACTCATTCAGGGCATTGAAAACAAGAGGACCAGCCCACACTGACAGCTTACACCTTCTGGAGTGAGACTGTAGCATTATCAACAAGGCCAGCACACAATATAAACACAAAGCCTGCTTGTGCAAAAAAATTCTGACGCACACACATCATGATACATAAATGCATTTCCTATAGTCTATCAAAAACACTCATTAACATCTGTGCTGCTAATGACAGTCTGAGAGCACAATAGCTTCAAAGAAGTAGAGGTTTGAGCTTGTTTGATCTTTTTCCCCATAAATACCTAGTCTAGTCTGGCTGTTGCTCTGAGGCTGCAACAACCAAGATACTGTTTCAGAGGTTGGCCTTGAGGTCTAAGCTGAGGGTAATAAATATTCAAAAACTGCCAAGCCCTTTTGTTTGGGTATGGAATTACACTAGCAATATAAGCAGTGGTTATTCCCCAGCATAATAACACAGTTTACAGTCATATTGCTTTTCTTAAGAGGGTACGCTAAACAGATTAGGGAAAAAATAAAATAAAATGTGTTGTTATCCTCCAAACAAATGAGCAGAACTTGAGATGAAGATAGCTTTTGAAAAGAAAATTATTTTCTACATCAGGCCTCATCCCAGTTGAGTCATAGTTATGGCTTATTTAAAGAGGCAGCCACTTGTTTCTAGACAGTTCCTGAAGCACGTGGATTTCCATTTTGGAAACAAGTTGTTTTAGGGGGCAAATTGATTTTACTCATATGGTGATTTAGGTGATAAAAAAAGCCCTCTGCACACACCACCAAATGTACGTCAATCACGTTTCAAACAGTTAACCACTCACTGACAAGGCTTACCACTTGAATTCTTGCCACATATGAGGTGCTGGTAGGGCTGCAGCAGACCCCAGATCTCCGAGTCGTTGCAGATGGCTTGCTCCATTGACTCCAGCGTAAACTTGGGGATCCCGTTGTCCCTCTCCACGAGCGCGCTGCGCAGGACGCGGGTGAAAACCTCTCTGAACAGACTCTCCATGCAGGCGGTGAGGTATATGGCAGCGTGCTCGTGGATCCTTAGGGCCACCCGACTATCCACCATCCACCTGAAGAACTTCCCCACGGAGAAGACCAGCCCGCAGCGCGCGGACTTGCCTCGGCTGAACTTGTCCCCGGTGCTCATGTTGTAGAGGGACAAGGCGCTCAGAGCCGCCGTGATGCAGTTGACGGAGATGGTCCACGAGAGCACCACCTTGATGGCGCTTTGGATCTCGTGCTTGGTGCACTTGGCGTAGCGCAAGCTGAGTCGCTGCGCCTCCCGGGCCACTCTCACCAGCGCGCGGCTAATGAGAGTCGACAGTCGCGCCAGGACCTCCGGTGGCGGGTTGCCCACCATCAGCTCCTCGTCTTTCCTCAGCGCGCCCTCCACCTCGCCCAGGGTCCATGGCACCTCCTCCAGCTCGGGCAGCTTGGCGCAGTGACCCGAGCACTCCAGTATCTCCGTGTCCTCCGCCAGGACGGTGTTGACTGTGTCCAAACTGTTGTGTCTGCTGTGCATGGATTCCGTCAGATGCCAGCAGTTTCCCCCATGCGAGATGGACTGATGCGTGTCGGAGCAGCACAGCGACACGCTGGACGACCTGACCGAGTCCGCGGCTCCACCATAACCAGAATCAAGCGTTAAATCCTCCAGCGTCCTCACGACTGTCTTACCCTTGCCTGCCATAACTGCACCGCATACTGTTGGGTATGCTTGGTCTCCCAGTTAAATGCCACAAACTCGTTTCAGCGCGTTTCTCCGCCGCAATCTCCCGATTTAAGCGTATTCCCCAGAATGAAGAGTGGAACGACACCAACGAGCATCTACTTTTCTCCTCCTCTGCGCGTCTTGCTGTCACCGATATCCTCTCCTCCTGTCCACAACTTCATAACCCGAGAGCGCACAAACCCTCCGCGCTCACTGCAACAAGCGCAGCGCAGGCAGGACTCCGATGGAGAGGAGGAGCATGAGAGCGGCGGGCTGGAACGAGCCAATCCGCGTATCCATCAGTTGTTACTGACAGAGAGGAGCTACCTGCTGCTTTTCAGCAGAATCTACCTGGAGCTGGTGAAACACAACAGTTCAGTGGAAAACACACTATTGCGGGCTGCTGTGCCAGCCAATCTGCTGTTTGTAGTGGCGTTGCTGCAGTGTCATGTCACGACAGTGCCAGGATGAGAGGAAGGTTCCCACTGAGAGAACACATGGCGCAAATGGTAAAATAGACAAATTCCGTGTTAAAATAACGCAGGGACACGAAAATAATTTAATTCTACCGCATGAAACTCAGATCCACCAATCAAATAAGATCAATGAGTGGATTCAATGAGGATTCAAAGATTCAAAGATCAATGAGTGGATTTTAAATTAAGCATAAAGAAGACGCTGGCTGCTACCTTGCCAGCATTAAGCTGTTATTTTAAAGTGTTCATACTGTTATCTAAAATAGCAGTTTCTTTCTGTGCTCTATGAAAAATAAGCTTTTCTGTGTAATACTACTAGCTGCTTCGTTGCAGTGATGCTATATTTTATTCTTCCTGCTGTCATCTGTAGATGAGTTTCACAGCTTTAAAATGTATTAAAGTTTTGTACAGTAGCTGTATAAACACACAATTCCTCATGTGAACAGGTCACTGATGTACCATGAATTCAGTTTCTTGTGCGTGTGTGTGTATGTGCTTTAATGTATGCAAAGGTATCAGCTTTTCTGCATTTCCTTTAGTCTGTTCACTGACTGATGTATTTGACCTTTCTAAAGCTTCTCTGGACATGATTAATCACTACAGGAGTTTGCTTGCTAAATTTCACCATGAAAATCCATTCATCCATCATTCTGCTGGCCAAAGAAAAGGCAGGATGCAATTGTAAAATCATAGCAACACCTATAAATAATAATAGGCATCAGTATTCACCCGTATTCACGAATAACAGTGCAATTTTGTAAAATAAAAGCGCAGCGCATTTTTTCTTTAGTTAAGTACAGGTCAGGCTAGTGTTCTTATTACGATTGCACTATTTATTTTGCTGTAACTAAATAGAACATTTTAAAGTAAGACTTTAAAAACGCTATTATTAGGTGTTTAATGAAATGTTTCTTATTCTGTTCAGTTAATAAAGATAATATTAACCCACCTTCCTGAAATTTTCTGAGAACCTGGATAAAATGTTGCGTTTCTAACATTAGACTTCTGCTGTGCTTGTTTTCCACCCCTAATGTTGATTCTTAAGTATGACGTGAAGCGTCTGCAGCAGAAGTAACTTTCTTAAGGTGCACCACAATCTTTAATGTCTGATCCTTATAAATATTTCACTCTCCAGAGA